GGTTACCCGACATCCCGATTACGCAATTTGGCGCCATTATGCGTTAATATGGCGCCAAATTGGCGCGTAATGGCGCCAAAATTGCGCAGGCGGCAGAAATAAATGTTAGATCCGTAATCAGGACCTTTCATCGACTTTGGTGAAAAAAGTGGTGGGCGCCAAATTGGCGCATAATGGCGCCAAATGACGCCAGCGCTCGAAACGGATGTGATATTCGTGATCAGCGCATCGAATTACATCTATAGGCAACGTTTCAGCGAAAATTTTTTTGAGTTTTTGGGGTAGGAATAGTTCAATAGTGCCGAAGGTTCTTGGCGCCAGCGCTAATGGATGACTCTACCATCATCTGCGCTCTACTGAGGCTGATCCCAGGAGGTAATCGTAGTGTCTTCTCTTGGCACCTAAGAATGAGTGCCATATTCGTAATCAGGATGTTAAATTACCCATTATACAAGTTTTCAGCGGATTTGATGATTTTGGCACTTTATAAATGAGCTCGCTGCCAAAATTGCTGCGTCCAAACGGCATTAGCCATCTGGCCCGCCCGTTGAACATTCAGATTTCGAAGTGCGGGCAGGAGAACTTGTCCTTCACGCAACCGGCGTCGCTCGTCGCTCCCAGCGCGGCATACTACGATTGTCTTGTCACATACCCCATACATTACATCCGAGTACTTCGTGATTATGTGTCTCTTTAGTGATCACTGACTGAGAATTATTTTTTACAGCAATTTCTCGTGAATGTCTGTGATGTGATTGCCGAGGTCATACGAACAGCTAGTCTTGACAAGTGTGACGAAAACAATGACCCTCAGCTACCCCCGAAACCTCCGAAGGCAACAGACGTGTGTAAAGTTTTTCATGTTGTTTTACATGTTCTTCGCTCACTACTTTCGTTTACTCTACTCTTTTAGCCATCTGATCACACTATGCGGGTTTGCATGCAGTTAACGCATTCCATGTTACGTACTGGGGCTTTCAGCAAGTGTGGACCTCTCTTGAAGAAACTTTCCGATGACATAGTGAGTTCCTGTGTGCAGCTTTCAAAACCGCCCTGTTTTCTGTTCCTACGACACCAGCAAAGTCATTTGAGTGAAGGCCAAACTTCGGCTACTGTACTGCTCTCAAACACTATTAGTGCTGAGCCTAAACACATAGTATATTTAGCCAGCTAATTCTGTTCACCATTTTAGATCGTCCCATGCTTGTCTACGAAAAATTCTCAAGTTTACGTATGGGCACTTGAAGCCTCTGGATTACTCGCAACGCTTGATGAAGCCTTGGCCAAAAGCGTTTTTATAAAGGCTGATGAAGGTTTTCAAAGCGACGATGAAGAACTCCAAGTAATGATTTGTCCGTTTGGCAGTCAGTAAGCATCATTATGCGTTCCGTTTGGGAATCGCTCTCTAAAAATTGGCTGAGGCTGCGGGCAAGAGTTCAATTCTCACGAACCCTGCGCCTCATTCAGAATATGATGTTCTCAGACTTACTCCCTTCAAGAGATGGTATTACACTTCATCTCCCACATTCCACAGATATCGGCCATTGATGTGTTAACGGATCTGATAGCTGTTTATGGATATAATGAAGTTGTTAGCTGGCGACGTGGAAGAGGAGAAGGAGATGAAGAAACTGAGTCGACTCCGTTTTTTGTCGATTTTCTTCTGGACATTATCAAAAGCAAGGTATGCCACTTGTTTGATCTCTTCAACCTCCTTTCCAACTATCCGAGGACATTCTGCTGCCTTCATACTTCCCAACATCGGTTAATTGGCAAATTAGGAGAACAGGATATTGCGCCCAAAAGAAAGTATAATCTTTGATTGGCGAGTTGGGAGAAGAAGAGAATCGGCGAATGCGTGATCTGAGAGAAAGCACGCCGCAGGAGTGGATGGGAGTCGAGTAAGATATTAGAGGAAAGTATGGTTATGTACGGAGGGAAGTTAGAAACAAATGATACTAGAAACAAATGATACTTTGGCAACTTCTCTTCCCAGGGGCAGCTCTATTACTCCTGCATTAGTCGCTAGAGTGCAGCAAACCGCTAGAAATGGCAGTTCCGTCTGCATCTGCATCTGCGTCAAGGACGGAGTGGGATCAATACTTCACATGTATGCAGAAGCTGTGGAAACCGCAGGCATCATTCGTCAGGAGTAAGCACCGTATGGTGTCAGATTCGCTTGCTTTGACTGATTCGCCTACGATGAAAAATATTTGCAGAATCGGCGAATGATGTGCCCGCCGAAGAGCAGATGAGAATCAGTCGTTTGCAGATTCGCTAGCTGGGAAAATAGGAGATTGCGCGTCAAGGGAACGTATACATATTGTTCTGGCTAATGGGAGGATAAGAGAGTAATCGGTTCCTTTATATTGCTTTGGCAAACATTTTGTATTTTCCTAATTGACTAATGCGCTAAAGATAGAAGTCGGTTGATTCCCAACTATTTTTCCTCCCTATTCACCAGATACAAACTTGTATGTCGTTTTCGCCGCAGGCTCTAAGGCCAAAGCTAGCCCTCTGACACATACCAGCGTCTGCAGCGAAAGCAACTGCACCTTCTTTTGTACTGCTGTCCTATTTTCCTAATCCTTGAATTTGCCATTCTTTCTGAGTAGAATGCAGCCTTATCTCTCCTTTTTCGTTGAGAGCCCTTTTGTCACAAGTTATAATCAGTTTTGGTTCAATGTCCTTGTGAATCGAAAATAAGCGGCCGCTTCTTACTAGCGTTCACTAAAAATCTCCGCAATTCAAGTGCCACCTGACTTGTCTCCATCACCCCATCACCCCATATATATATATATATATATATATATATATATATATATATATATATATATATATATATATATATATATATATATATATATATATATATATATATATATATATATATATATATATATATATATATATATATATATATATATATATATATATATATATATATATATATATATATATATAATTCGCTTCGTCTGTTTGTTTGTTGTTTGTTTGTTTGTTTGTAAGTTTGTTTGTCTGTCCGGAAATTCGGTTCGACCTGAAGAACGACTTGGAGAGGTCGGGTCAAGGTGGGGATGGGTAGAGCATGGGACAAGAAACAAAAGATGCGACAATTGACCTATGGGTAGCCCCGCCCACAGTGGGCGGGGCACTCGCTGAAATTTTGGGGTTCCACAGAAAAATGTTCATAATTCGCTTCCGGAGCAGCCTAAGATGGGAAAAAAGGGAATAAGGTTAGTAAGGAGTCGCCAGACTAACTGTGGCAGACACATCCAAAATGGGCGGGGCGTACTCAAGGTGGGCGGTGCTTCGCATAAAACTCAGTAACTCGGTTCGCGAGAGTGTTCAGAAGCCGCAAAAAGCTCAGTGCAGAATGTAAATATCTGGCGAGTATTGGGCATGCTCAAAATGTGTTGAGATCCGCCCACAGTGGGCGGAGCTTGCCCTAAACCGCAGGATACTCACTTTAAAAGTTTGTAGCTCGGTTCCAGAGCACTGCAAAGACCGGAAAAACGTGCGTCAAGGTCGGCAAAGGTTCGCCGGTGAGGACTGTGGTCTGTAAAACGGTTCCAGAGCACTCCGAAGACCGGAATAAAGTGAATTCAGGTCAGCAAGGGGTCGCCGATTGAGAAATGTGGGGTATACATATTGTGGGCGGGGCCAGCCCGAGTGGGCGGAGCCAGACAAAAATTCTCCAAAACTCTCCCAGAGCACTCCGAAGACCGGAAAAAAGTGGATTAAGGTCAGCAGAGGGTCGCCAGTGAGGATTGTGGGGCACAAAAATTGGGGGCGGAGCCTGTTTCGAGGTGGGCGGAGCCAGACAAAAACTCTGCAGAACGGTTCCAGAACACTTCAGACACCGGAAAAAAGTGGATTAAGGTCAGCAGGGGGTCGCCTGTGAAGAGTGCGGGGCACAAAAATTGTGGGCGGGGTCTGCTCTGAGGTGGGCGGAGTCAGACGAAGAATCTGTAAAATAGCTCAAGAGTACTTCAGACACCGGAGAAAAGTGGAGTACAGAACAAAAGGCGGATATCAGTTGAGTCTAGAAATATGTGAGAGAAGGTACGCGCGGCGAAGCCGGCCGTATCAGAAGGAGCCGCGCCGGCGTCAGCCGGCGAGGCGACTGGTTAAACAATAACGGTTCAAGAATAAAAGGCAGCTTCTAATAATAAGAGTAATGTATGTAGGTCTATCGGCTTGTGCCATGCCTCAGGCACCTTTGCTTCGTATACACTTGAATCACGAGATCAATGTCCTTTTTCGCAGACACACAAATCAGTTCTTGAGTGCCTCCCCTCACTACCTCTCGATGAGCCTTTTTCAGGGTTCCAGCCCCTCACTATGTCTTAAGGCATGTGAGTGCGCAGCTAAGATCTTGCTCCTGGAAAACCTCTCTGATAATGATTTTTCTTGTGCTGAAGTCTTAGCAGGACTGATCTCCAGGTAATCAACTCAAGTTTTCTACCACTTCAGTTTTATAAACTAAGGGGATCGCTTGTTTTCCATCTTTCCTATATTTTTCCGAGAAATTTGTACTTCCCTCAGCTTCTCCACAAAACGTAATCATGCCAGTCATGTGGTAAGAGACACAAGTGAAGTTTCTTCTGTTGCCAATAAATATTTTCTAGTCTCATTGGAGAGTGATTGGATGAACTCGATTATGGGAATAAATCACTAATCTTTTTAGACCGTTAATTTGCTGTTTTCCAGACTTTTCCACTCAAGCTGCTCACGACTTCCTGCGGTGAAGTCTTGTATAGAAAAATTCTTCGCCATGTTCTCTTCTGTCCAGAGGTGGTTAGCTTACTGTTTCATCTTTTTGGGTTAGCTGTATAATGTTCCGTTTCAGGAAAAACCAGCTGGCAATAATGGCCGCTTTTCATCTGCTAATGTCACAAGTGCGCTCTGCTTCCGAAGACGATTTTGTGCTTCACATTGACATAGTAGCGGCTCTGAACTTAATAGTTGGTGCAACACAGTATAGGCTTTTGAAAAACGCTCCTGACAGAGAGGTGAGCGATTAGCGGTATGGATAGTGTTAAACAGTACTCTCAGACAGTCACATTTAGCAAGGTTCTGTGCAACCAGTTTTTCTACGTGAGCTACTTGATTATCAAAAGGATCATCCTGATGATGCCTGTGCTTCACTGTATTGGCAGACTGCTGCAGCATTGGATCTGGACGAGTTTGAAGCATCGGAGCTTCTTGAAGCGCAACGAATCGTTCAAATAATTCTTGATGTACGTCCTATTTTCTTTCACTCTCAGAGAGTAGTTCCACAGTACCATTATTTCATTTTACATTTTCATTATAAGGGAATCAATATACAGCAAGACGAGGAGAAAGGGAAGAGAGTAAAGGATTCGTGAAACCTATCTCTGGAGGTCGTGTAATACGGCTTGAGTTTCCCTTACAAAGAGGGACTGATGAGGGGATACGGAGAAGTGACATCTAGTGCTTACTTTCAGCCATCATGAGAGGACGAGGATTGGTTTTTTGTACCGATATCACCGAAGTGGGGAGGAGGTTGTGTAGTGACAAGTGGCGCGCTTACCACTCGCGCGGTCCTGGGTTCGAATCCCGCCCAGGCCAACCAAGCCTTCTACCCTCCGGGGACGGTAAATTGGTACCAGATTCGTCTGGGAGGATAAAACACTGACTTGTACATCGGCTGGCCCCGCAAGTCATTGTATAGGCCACATCGCATTCAATAAGCCACTACGATTCTGAATGGAAGTAGAATGCGTGCCGCATCCCACAAAGGGATTGATCAACGGCGAAGACTTTATCCTTTATCACAGGAGCAATCGGCTTCATACCCGAAGGCCCATGCGGAAGATATCCTCATTTAGACAATGTGATGGAGAAGCATCGACCCTGTGTGTTTCATAAAAATTATATGATCCTTGAAATCTTTTACTTGTGGAGGACAAGCGCAACGAGCCTAAGGCTGTATCCTTTCCCTAAGTCCTCACGAGGAGGTTTATGTGCGCTTGAATATCAACTCTGCGTTCCTGCCTCTTCGTTCTTACTTTGGATGTCGTGTTAAAGGAACTCATATACTACTGAGAGCCATCCTATACACTGACACATGGCCTGACAGCGTACATCAAAGGGGAACCTTGGGAGAAAGGGCGAAAATGGCAGGATGTGCTGGCAAAGAACGTTCTACTACTAAACGTGAGAAATAGCGAGTTTGAGAGAGAGAGAGAAGAGTGCTCTGACCCTACCGTAGACCGTCTTGTCGAGAACATCGAAGAGGTGGAAGATTTCTGCTACTTCGGAAAGAGTATAGCCACTAATGGTAGCGTGGACCAGCCACTGAAGACGCGAGCGAATGCGGCGTAGATGGAGTGAAGAGAGTGCCTTAGCATCTGCTGCTATCAACGTGCTCCAGGTCACCCAAGGGCAAAGTGCACAGGACCGTGATAAGGTCTGGGTTGTTCTACGCTAGCACGTTCCCGGGCAAGAAATACGAACGGCTGCCACATTCTGCTGGAATGAGGATGTTAGGAGTGGCTTGCGTTGTTCTTAACTGTGACTTGAGGGTCAATCAAGTCTCTTTAATGCATACGGCTCATATTCAACTGAAAGCACGGTGGCAGCGACTGCGATGGTATGTGTTCAGAGCGTATGAGGACCACCAAATTGGAACAGTGCTGGACCTCGAAGCTCTCGGCAAGCGAAAAAAGAGGAACCCAAGAGAAGGGATGGGAAGGCGTCCACGGCTGGTGTCTTTTACAGAAAAAAAAGACGATGTCTGAAGAGTAGCGGACTTTCCACTTGAGGCAACTGTTACTCTGTCTTCTGGTGGGCGGTGACATGATTACAGTTGTCCCGAAACAAAAATATCCCAGAAGCGCTGCAACCCACGTTCGCATGAAGCACGCGGCACGCCCCTCCAGCTCTGAGATATAGAGGGCACACTATGACACGAAGGCAGTTCGGCCTATGCTACTTAACACGTTCGAGGCGGCGCCGTTTCGCCAAAAACTCCCGTTTGTCGAGCGGCGCGTTCGCGGCGGGCGACACTTAGGCAATCGTCCCGTTATGGTTCAGCGCGCTCGGGTTCAACTTCGCAAAACATTATCTGTGCAAGCCTGAGGGTACAGGAAGAAGACCGTCCAGACGATGTGTCGGCTGTTAGAGATCTTTGACAAAGACTCACAGCGTGACTCACGCTCGCAACTATGACCCAGAGCAAACACGACTTGTTCCTGTTGTGAAAACCCACTGTTACCTCAACTGCTTTCAAAAAATGCACAAGATGTGTTCTTAATTTTACTTCTGCACTGTTTACATTATTATTTGTATATAATTGTCAGTGGAAAGGAGAAAAAGAATCATAGAAAAACGACGAACGGAGAGGCGCGTTTACTCCCGAGAGAAAACGATTCAAATAAAGAGAGAAGTTTTCGCCTGTTTTTTTTTCTGCAGTGCATGCCTCTTTGAGTGTGGTAGTATTATTACCATATTGTCTGTTTTATTATATGCATATATAATTGCTAAAGAAAACCAGAAAAAATAACAGAAACGAGCGAAGAGGCGCTTGCATACTGGGAATACACTATTCGCCCGAAGAAAAAAGTTTTTGAGTGTTTTTTCGGGACTACGTGCCTCTTCTAATGTGTGACTATCATTCATCTATTGTTTCTTTGATTAATTGTATCCAATTCTTCGTGAAAAAGGAAACGAAATGTACCAAAAACGAGCGAATAGGCGCGTGTACTCCCGGGAGTACACGATTCGCCGAAAGCGGAGTTTTTTCGTGTACTCCCGGGAGTACACGCCGCCTCGAACGTGTTAAAAACTTTTGTTTCCTGTTTCCCTAAGCCTTGTCTCTTCCCAGGATGGGAGAGGCTTATCTTAAATGGTTTACTGATGTATTTTTTCACTTTGTTGTAGGATGCGGTTGCCTCTTCAGCTTTGAAAAGCAAAGTCGTTGGTGATATCCAGAAATTTATGCGAAGCATTGAAAATGCTTTTCATGCTATTGAAAGCCGTGTTGCGGAGGTAGGCGAATGACCCTGCTGTTTTTCGTTCGTCTTTCAGCTGGATACTATACCAGAAGCACTTTTCTTTGAGAATCTCAATCTCCTTCAGGATGCCGAACGTGGTGACTGCCTCACTGAACTTCGTGTGAAGGTCGCTCGCACACCAGGACGTGGACGAAGAAGAACACCAAAATCAGCCAACAGCACTCCAATAAGGCCTGTACGCTCCACAGCTCCAAGGAAGAAGGTGTGCCAGAAGAAAACAAAACGATTCTTTTGCTCTGTTTCCAAGTTGCTTTTTTCAGGCGGCCACCAGTGTGAAGCGATCCACCCAACAAGTTCTTGACGGAGACAAAACGCCATCGCCACCCCGTAAGTAAAACTCATGATCTCTTGTATTGAGTTGAGACTCCCCTTTATTCATGACTGTTTCAGCCGTGATCAATTCCCTAGTAACACCTACAGCTCGAAGTCGTCCTGTTCTATCAAGATCTGCGAAAAATGTTGCTATAAGCAAAACCAGACGTTGGTTATTTGAAAAAGGCGACGAGGAAGAGTAACTGCTTTAAATTCGCTTGCATTAAACTTCTTTGTTTTCCAACTTTAACGTTACTCTAATATATTGTACACTTCCGATTTTTGTTGAAAGCCTTTTCTTTCCTCAGTTTAGTGCATCGGATTCAGTGCACGGTCCACGCCCTCAGGTTGGATGTGCGCTACTAGAAAGGAACCAGTATAGAAAACGTGCACTAAATTGAAATCGATCCTATTTTCATAACAGTGCCGTGCTTATTTAAGCGCGTACAGCCTGGTTCGATGCGAGTGACGGGGCGTGTCAGTGCGGCTGTGTTTGGCATAGTGCTGAACCCGTTTTTCACTTTCTCGAAGCTAGTATACGACAAGAGTAAGTGAAAAACGACTGAATCGATTTACGTCATCCAATCTTCTCACATGCTTGCTTCAAGAAGTCGTTGGGAAAAGGTTTGGCGGGGCGCCAAACCCGTCCTCACTGACACGCCCCTTCATCCGCAGCAAAGCAGGGCTGCAACTGTACCTTACGTGTCAATTATACCGGTGCAAAGCCAAGCGAGCATAGAGGAAAGGCAACCTACGAGCACGTTCACACTTCGTGGTCGCGCGATTCGATCGCCCGACCACGAAGTCTGAACGCGCTCTAACACTTCTTCAATTCTTTTCACGCGGTGTATATATTCGTTTCTCTCGTTCCTTAATAACTAACCTCACTGTGTAACGCCAAACCAGTTTTTATCGATTACGTGCCTCCTATTACATAACGAAGGTATCGCTTTGTATGCAACACCGATAACTGGAAGTTAACGTGGTCTTCATGTCTATTCTTACGCGTGTCTCGAGATTCTCAGCAGTGTTGTATGAAACGTATTTATACAGAAACCGAAGTAATAAGAATTTGTAATAACTCTGGTCTTCCTATTCTATCATCTACTTTTTTCCTGAACCTGCAGGTGCACAATCAAACTTCCCTCGTATAATGTTTGCCTTCACTGAGATGAGATCACGTCTTCGTCCGCCTTTCACTAATACCTGGAATACCTAACCGTCAGCATACAGAAGAACTGTAAATTCATACTATCCCTGTAAAGTTTCCTAGTCGCCAAAAAGCCGCCGTATAAACTCAGCGTTAGAACGCGTTCACACTTTGCGTATACGTTTTTGAGCGTATGGCAGCGTTTTTAGCGGTTCGCTCATACAGCAGCGTTTTGAGTAGCTAAGAAAGTATAGGCATTGATTTAAAGCTTTATGCGTACGCCTGCATTTTCATCGACTACCGCGAAACGCTCCAAATCTTCCAAAAAGGCCAGTTTTTGACCGACTTTTTTCTCCGTGGACAGATTTGGCTCAAATGTTGTCTCCTGGGTAGTTTGACCTCCTGAATACGAATATCACATTCGCTCAGCGCGAAACTTCCTGGCGCCCGCGCCACAGGCGCCGGCGCCAAAATACCCTAAATCCCAAATTCGCTGAAAACTTGTTCCAGGGGTAGTCTGACCTCCTGAACACGAATATCACATCCGCTCGGCCCGAAACCTCCTGACGCCCGCGCTACAGGTGCTGGCGCCAAAATACCCCAAATCACGGCGCGGGCGCCAGGAAGTTTCGGGCTGAGCGAATGTGATATTCGTATTCAGGAGGTCAAACTACCCCAGGAGACAACATTTGAGCCAAATCTGTCCACGGAGAAAAAAGTCGGTCAGAAACTGGCTCAATTCTGGATGGTTGGGGCAGTAAAGGGTAAACAGTGCTGAGGAATGAAAAAAAAACATTAAGGTAACAATATTTTCGAAACTTTGCATATTGAAAACATTGCTTACCTGAGAATGTTCCTGAAGATTGTGGCCGACACCCGGAATGTAGGCGCATACTTCTGCCCCAGTTGAAAGACGAACTATGGCGCATTTTCTGTTTCCGGAATTGGGTTTCTTTGGATGCCTTATTACAGCTAAAAAAATCCAGCCGTAAACCATCCAAATAAGCATTTCTGAAGTAAAAGCACAACACAGAAAGTGTACTTCATTTTCTGGGGTATAAGGCGCATTTATTTGCATGGTCGCGACGCCGCACGCGAAAGCTTTCAAACACAGTGACACCTTAATTTTATGTATCTTCTGATTTCACCTAATTTTCTTTGACGCTTTCGCTATTTAGAACAGATAACCCATTTGTGCAAGAATACGGAAGAAGGTATACAAGTAACAGGTGTGCCTTATACCCCGGATAATACGGTAATAATAATTTCATAAGATGAGAACAATAGACTGTTAGATGGATAAGGTAACTGGATGAGACCTAAAAAAGGGAATTCAGTGGGAGCCAGTCCTGAGCTTACAGAGGTACAGGGGGCAGAAAACCTCGCTCATGCTCTCGATGCTGGCATCCGTCGTGCGTGGAACTAGAGTTCGAAGTTGAATTAGTCGATTCATGAAAAAACAAAAACACGAATCATCAGGGATGCTGTCCCAGAGCTGTATTTTGCTGTCTTTCAATACCGAAGCGACAGCCTCCAGAGCCAATGCGCAAGCGGAAAGACCGCGAAAATCACTAGCTACCAAACCACGGATATTACTAGCAACACAGCTTCTTCGAGCTTACTTGAATACTGTAGCTCTTGGACAGTTGGACACATGTTTTGACATCCTCTGACGGTAGAGGCAGTGGTAGGGATCCCGTTCCCGCTTGCAGAAGAACATCACAGAGATGTCCTGTCTCATGGTCAGATTTCCTCTGACCTATTTGCCTGTGCAACGTAATGTTCGATGGTGTTCCACTTTTTTGCCACCCCTCCCCCTCTATTGTCCATCCATGTTGGGTGTTCCAAGAATCAAGAACCCTCGTAATAACGTTGCACGTGAAGAGCGACAGATCATAGTTAGGTGTTACAGCTTCCGAGTTTCATAGCTATATGAGAATAAATAAGGTGAAAAACTGCCAGGACATGCAAAAGGTAGTGGTTTCATTGTGAAAGAGCAAAGTCGATATTTGCATTGATGTGCTCAAAATCAACACTCACATTGACAAACGATATGAAACTCACTTTTGAGAACGATGCCTTTGTAATGGTTATAACCGCTGATCGGACTCTTGTCCTTACTGCGAGATCTCCTTGGAGGTGGTCCGTTCCGATAATGGATGAACTGAAACTAGCAAATTTGAAACAAACTAAGAATATTTACTTTGGTGTTGCGTTGGCGGGCCGACCAACCATTATACTTTTCTTCATTATACATTACCAGTCGGATCGCCCGGCTGACGCCGAGCTCTCCTCCTTCTCTTTAGCTCGGCTTCGCCGAGCTGGCCTGGCTTCGCCAGGCGCGCTCCATAATTTTAACGGAACCTTTTCAATAGTGGTCATACCTTGGAACCAACGTCCCACTGTTGCTGTGTCTCGCACTATGGACTCGGTCATCCTCCCCTTCTAAGGTCCCTAATCGAAGCTTATCAGGTGTTATCACCTTCTGTCAACCCAACCAAAAGTGTTTCGCGCTCCTGCCATTTATATACACTACTTAGCGAACTGATTCTAACTCACCCTTGGAACTCACGTCCTATCTTTTCTGCGACGCTCGCTATGAATTTCGTGACAGACAGACAGACGCACACACACACACACACACACACACTTACAGACATACTTAGTGAATTATATATAGTAGGATCATTAGCTATGACTTGCAAAATCAAACACATGTCCCTACCCATGACTAATACTTTTTACAACCGTAAGATAACTACAAAGGTCACAACTAGTCACGAAAATCAAAACCAAGCTATCAGCTGCTTTCTTCTCATTTTAGAACCTTGTTACATATTGACTTATAGGGGTACGCATTTAGTGGACAGTTTCAACGATTAGACCGTTGCTAATAAAGTCTTACACTCTGCGTAATGAAATCCTTTCAGCACACAAGAATGGTCCGATAATGTTACTCTATTCATAAGAGAGATAAAAGTAACCTGTAATATATTATTCTCCATTGCCGGCCGACTGTAAGAATGAAAGGTGGTGAACTGCGTGTAGGTACACTGGCTAGTGCTAGCCAAAAAAGGCGAAAACCGTGAAATCGATTTTATGAGCGAAGAGAACATCTAAAAAACTTCTGAAGATCGAGAACATAATGCTAGTGAGATACAAAACTCACAAAATCGAAAAAGAAAAGAAGCAAGATGTTTGACTGAAAATAGGCGTCGAATAAATTGTGTTGCTGCCAGGTGCACACATTGTGCGTTGCGGATCAGGCCCTCTTAAGGCATTGCATTAAGAAGGCCTAATCCGCAGGCTGAGCAGACGACTGGATTCATATCGGCTCACTTGCTTGCTTGTTCTGGCCATTTCAGAAAGTGGAGAACGTCTCCAAAAAAGAATAACCAGATATGAGCTGAAGAGAATTGACAAAGGAAGCGGCCCGCTCAAGCAGTCCTGCGTTGGAACCCACGAGATTTACAGCGAGGAAAGTTGTTTTTTTCAGTGGATAGGTTCGCATGCGTTTTCAGGCAAACGACTATGGCGCGCTTAGGCACAGAAAGGGCCCCACTGTGACCATCAACATCGGGACACTTTATGGACATGTGGAAAATGAACGCTTTAACATCACCATATGTACAAAAGTGTCTTTAGGACCTTCTTCCAACCAAAAATACGTAATGGTATGAAAATATGTGGTAATGTGGGGCTTCACCAGGACATAACATTTCGCGTTTCTAGTGCATGTATAAGTGGGCGCACAAAAAGGGTAGTCGTGCAGGGCTGATGCCGTTCGGACGGACGCGCTCACTTTTGGCTGCGAGCTCATTTATGAAGTGCCTAGATCACCAAATCCGCTGAAAACTTGTATATAGGAGTAATCTAACATCCTGATTACGAATATGACATTCACTCAGGGTGATGGTGTCAATGGAGATCACTATGTACGGTTATCTGCGCTCTGCTAAGGCTGAGCCCAGAAGATAATCGTAGTGTCCTCCATTAGCGCCAGCGCCAAGAATGAGTGTCATATTCGAAACCAGGATGTTGAATTACCCATGTATACAAGTTTTCAGCGGATTTGTGATCTAGGCACTTTATAAGATGAGCTTGCAGCCAAAAGTGAGCGCATCAGAACATCATTAACTGTCGTGCAGGCCTCCCGACAGTTAGTGATCGCCAGCGCGATGGTATGCGCCATGTGTGCGGAGCACATATCAAATTCAGCAACTCTGATCCGTAAAAGTCGTTTCACATAAGTGAATCTCCTGACCACTGCCTTTCAGCGGATTGAGTAGCCCAAACAAAATTCTAAATATAGAGCGCGAAACTGTTGGAACTGTGAGAAAACAAGTCTTTTGAAGGCTCTGGAACGCCGATTTAAAGAAAATGTCGTGAAATAGTTGACGAATTCTTTATCAGTTCATCATTCATATCGACATCGGTCCTTGACAATAGTCCAATGCTCCATAGCCATGGAACTGCCCCGCAAAGAGTATGAGTTTCCAAAATCTTGAGCTCATCCTCCTCATGCTGACGGACTTGATGGTCCTTTCATTTGATGGTCCTCCGGTGCTGAAGGTCTGTGGTCGGTACGTCGAAGACACCTCAGGATTCCGTGTTCAGCAATTATGTCACTAGAAGCTGAGGCCACTATGGCTCCTCTTCTGTCACTATTGCTTTATCGAGACCTGCTCCTTTCTCTTTCTATGGAGGAACTTAGGAGCAACCCATAGTTGAGAGCGCTAGAATAAGAACGTTCATTTTAAGAAAAGTCTGATGACTAGCGACACGATACAGTGAAAATAAGCATAGTTATATGAAGCACAGAATGGTCGCTACCTTGCAGCCACCCCCCCTTTCTGAACAAAAGAGCAGATGTGACTCAATGTGGTTTCCGACGGTTTTTGGATGTCGCTCATGCCTCTATACATCTCTGTACCGCACTCTACTGCAGCGTATCTCTGACTTTAGTACGACTCTCATGAAGGCGTCGAGCCCGTTTATCGACGCGGCGTTCTGGCCACTTGGTGGTATGTAACTACGAGAAGCCGCTGTGGGATCAAAGTCTGCGGCGACTCTGGCTACCTGTAAGTCAGTATCCTGTCAGCACTCCACTGGTCGCTCCGTCATCCCATAGTCAACGTCATCATCCATCCACGATGCCATATTACATCACAGGTTACATCTACACCCGCAATGGAAGCCGACACAACCTCAGGCCGCCGACTCTATCCCAGTAACCATTAGGACAGAGGGATCCAATCCTGGATAGCTGAGAGGAGGATATTTCCATTGCCACTAATGAGCTGACACGCTAAGCCGTAAGTTCTTGGGCAGGTTCTCACGTAGTTAGGCGTTACCATCATTTCTTATATTCTTTTTATTATCGTCACATAGTTTATCCTTATCAGAGAGGTAGATGATTTTAATGATTTGGTGTTTTGTTGTTCGTGAAGAGTGGTTTGACCACCTTATTACTTGAATGTTCATTTATCATAGTTATTGATATGCTGGTTGTTGGCTGAAGTCATATGGTTACGGTAGAGCAGTGTGGTCGACCATGGGAACAGGTATACTTAGGTAAGACGCGCGGATGGGGCGTAGGAAAGAGAGTTAACTTCAAGTACATGACCACATAGCTAGCTTACTACGTAGGGGCAGTAAGGGCCTTACAGGTTGCGGATAGCAACATAGCACCCGCGTGGCAACACCGTAGGCGAGCACAGGCAAGCGCTCCGTAAGTCCCCTGCACGTACTCGCGCCGAGCGTGACTCTTTCCCCCGCAGGGTCAAAAGCACGTCCGGTGTCCATTCGATGTTTAGACGCCTCCTTTAGCTATGGTAGTCCTGCCTGCAAGTATGGAGGATGTATAGTGTAGTTCGCTGCGGACGGTTGGGCGTGTCAGGCGGGATGAGTTTGGCGCGGTGCCAAACCCGTTCTCCACCAGTTGTTAAAGCGAGCAAATGATATGACTGTATCATACGTTCGTATTACTCGTTTTCTACCACTTTTTGTCGCATGCGCGCTTCAACAAGAAGGCAGAGAACGGCTTTGAGGGTGACACACTCATACTGCCTGACACGCCCAACCGTCCGCAGCGAACTAGAGTGTACTCTTTCGCAGCTCAAAATACGCGAGGAAAGCGCCGCTCGCTCTCTATGGAACACGGTCCCATTGGCCACGACGACGCCCAACTTTCATTTTAACTGCTACCAGATTGAGCGGTTGTTCCACTATTAACCCTTTCCATTTCGAATAGTGACTGAGGTGATAAGGAGAATGAGCCGACACCAACAAAAGAGAACTCGTCCGACCACGCTCATTCTCTGCCTTACACACACAAGCGCGACAGGGCATTTAGGGCAGGTTTTCCCCTGCCTTTTTTCGAGTGTTACTTATCATCTTGTCACCAGTATTCAAGTAGCGAGCGCGTGATGTGCCTTTAAGAGTAAAGTGATTCATTGCCTGATTTTATACTTTGAACTTTTCAAGATCTCGAAATGACAAGTGCTTCACTTACAATACATTCTGCCCGACCAAAGCTGCAGATCTAGGTTCACCGTAGCAATTACCAGGAACTCGAAATGACGTAGTTACAGTCCTCATCATTGCGGACCGGTGGGGCGTGTCAGCCAGTATGAGTGTGCACACTGTTGAAGCCGTTCTCAGCCTTTTTGTTGAAACGCGTATGCGACAAAAAGTGGTAGAAAACGAGTAATACGGAGGATATAATACAGTAATGTCACTTGCCCGCTTCAACAACTGGTGCAGAACGACTTTGGCCCCGCGCCAAACGCAGCCGCACTGAACCGCCCCGACAGTACGTAATGATGAGGACTGTACTTGGTTTATTTTTGGAAATTCAAGTAAACTTGCCAATATACCGTGAAAAAACA